ACATTGTGCTTTCTGGACAACACCCCCCCCCCCCCCCGTCACCACCAGGTCTGGCCATTTACCCAATAGTGAGAGAGTGGGAAGGTGTGTCCAATCTCTGGTTACCATGCGTTGTCAGGCAAGGTATGTTTTGATTGGCTCGGAGTTGGGCATCCCACTCCAGCCTCTTCCATTGACCATGTGTCATGTCAGGGAATGCTTTTGATGTGCTAATGTACTGGACATAGCTCGTCCCATGCTTGGGAAGGCGCCGGCAAGTCGCTCTCTCCTGGCAGAGCTGTCAAAGTGTCTTGTATATGGAGATGCGGCCTGGCCATCTGGCAAGCCATTTGCACAGGTGACAGGAATCATGCGGTAGTGTTACCAGCTAGGGCCATCTGGCCTAAGCAGGGAGGATTTTAGAAAAGCCTTTTTCTATACAGGCATAGATATAGAATGGGAGGGACTTGGCTTGACAGCAGCACATGTGAAAGGGATCTAGGTGTTTTGGCTGATCACAAGCTAAACATGAGCCTGCAGTGTGATGTGGCTGTGAAGAAAGCTAATGCAATCTTAGGATGCATTAACAGAAGCATTGTGTCCAGATCACGGGAGGTGGTAGTTCTGCTCTGTTCTGCTACGGTTAGACCTCACCTGGAGTACTGTGTCCAGTTTTGGACACCACATTTTAGGAAGGATGTTGGCAAGCTCGAGCGTGTCCACAAGAGGGCAACCAGGATGGTGAGAGAGTTGGAATCCAAGTGTTATGAGGAAAGGCTAAAAGAGTTGGGAATGTTTAGCCTGACAAAGAGAAGGCTTAGAGGGGACATGATTGCAGTCTTCAAGTATTCGAAGGGCTGTCATGCGGAAGATGGAGCGGATCTATTCTCTTGCTCTGAATTGTAAGACTAGATCTAATGGGTGGAAATTACAAGGGAGTCATTACCGGCTAAATATCAGGAAGAAGAATAGGAAGAGATTGGATTTATACCCCACCCTTCACTACCCAAAGGTGTCTCAGAGCGGCTTACAAACTCCTTTCCCTCCCCACAGCAGACACCCTGTGAGGTAGGTGGGGCTGAGAGAGCTCTTGACAGAAACTGCTCTTTTTCAAGAACAGCTCTTATCAGAGCTACGGCTTGCCCAAGGTCATCTAGCCAGGTGTAAGTGGAGGAGTGGGGAATCAAACCTGGTTCTCCCAGATTAGAGTCCGCACACTTAACCACTACACCAAACTTCCTAACTGTAAGAGAGGTTGAGCAGTGGAACAGACTGCCTCGGGAGATGGTGGATGCTCCTTCGCTGGACGTTTTCAAGTGCAGGCTGGATGACCATCTTTCGGGTATGTTGTAGGGCTATCTTTCGGCAGTGCTCCTGCAGAGTGCAGGGGGTTGGACTAGATGACCTTCAAGGTCCCTTCCAACTCTAACATTCTATGATTCTAACAGCAATGAGTCCCCCCAACTAACTTCTCCACCATGATCTTCCCCAGCGATGCTTTGCTGCAGGAGAGCAAAGAGCTATGTGTAGCACGCACTCTTGGTTCTCTGGGAGCGCCACCGAGGCCTAACAGCCGGGCCAATGACTTGATCGCACTCAGAACACACTCCAGAATTGGGGCTCCATGGCATATGTGCAGCCATTCCTCAGTGGACAGGGGTACAAGACAGAAAGCTTGAAAACCACTCCTCCGATATGCCGTAACATGGATGGCCCAGGCTAGCTGGATCACACTACTGGGTCTCAGAAGCTAAGCCCTAGTTAGTACTCGGATGGGAGGCCACCAAGGAATTCTAGGGCTGCTATGCAGAGGTAGGCAATGGCAAAACAACGCTGTATGTTTCATCTTGAGAACCCTATCAGGTCGCCATGTCAGCTATGAGTCGAAGGAACTCTCCACCACCACTCGTATATCAGAGCCACAAAAAGGAGATAAAACAGGAAATGGTTGAGAGAACACTGAAACAGGGTTCTCTGTATCAAGTCAGCCCTTGAACAAAAGGGTAACTAGTGTTAATTAAAAACTGAGCTAATATTTTGTCTCTCCTGAATGAGGGACAGAACAAAAGTTCACTAATGATCCCCCAGCAGGCTATGGCCCAGTAGTTCTAATAGGAGACCATATCTAATTAGTTCTTGACTTCTCTTTGAGCTCTTCTGCTTGCTGTAATACCGGCAAATAATTGCTGTCTTCTCCAGTCTTCTTCTTAAATCAATTGAGGATGGTAGTCTTGCAACAAGACCAAAGAACACTTGCTCATTTTTTTTAAAAAAAAGCTGAAACAGCTGGAAGGGGATTGTTTATCATACGATCAATCAGACAAACACGGCCAGAAAAGGTTCACTTTTTGGACACCAAAAAGTAATGCAGGCTTAGAGGATACAAACAAAATGCAGATGACCAGCTGTGCACGTAAGTGTTGACAGCATTTAAAATATCACCTTTTCCCAATTTATGTAGCATCCCCCAGTGGTTAAAACGGAAAATTGCTGCTTTAAATTACTTGGGAAGAGTACAAGAAAACTTTGCCTTTGCTATCTCCATTGTTGCCAAAAAAGATAGAGAGTCAATGACCTGAAGTCTTTCACACACAAAAAAAACTAACTGCAATAACATTTCTCCCTCTCAATTCAGGTGGGATTCATGGGACCATATTTGTTCACTGCAAAGTGATTCCAGCCATCTCATCCTTCATGCACACAGGAGGCTACTTTATATTGAATCAGACCATCGATCGATCAAGGTGAGCACTGTCCACTCAGACTGACAATGGCTCTCCAAGGTTTCGAGCAGAGGTCTTTCACACTACCTTAGGCCTGGCCTTTTAAACTGGAGATGCTGGGGATTGAACCTGGGACCTTTTGCAAGCCAGGCAGATGCTCTCCCATGGAGCCACAAGCCCCTCGCCGTACTGATATTCTGAATCACTGAACACTTTGCTCAGGTTGAAGGCCAATCAGTACCAGATAAAATATAATTTCCAGCCGTGGGATGGGCTATAATCTGGGCATGGAATCATTTGTTCCCAAAAGCAGGTTACATAGGGGCTCCAGCTATCTGGCTCAAAAGCACGTAGGAAAGAGCCACAGCACGGTATACAGAGCATGCTTCTCATGCAGAAAGTTTCAAGGTCACCCTCTAGTATCTCCATTTAAAAAGGATTTCAAGCTGCAACTACTGAGAAAGACCACAAAGGGAGGAAAAAAACCCTTTATCTGACACAAACTGAGCATCAGCTGCTGATTCTTTCAACATGAGAAGCTGAGGTGACCAGCTAACTCTTAAAATTTTCTGCAATTTCACTTAATATCTGCCGCCACAAAACAGAACCAAGAAACAGCAAAGATATGCAACGCTGATTATTGACTGCTAATGATTACAGTGGAACAATAAATATTAAGGAAATTGTGAACCAATTGACTGACCCTCATTAATTCCTGGTGCATTGGGTAAACCAGGAACATATTCAAGTAGCTGGAAATTCAATCAATGGGGTTTAATAATGCCACAAAAGTCAACCAATTTAGAGGAATCCTTTTATTTTTACATTTATATGGAATAGCCATTGCGATGCAGTGAATACGATTATGGGCTGGGGATGGGGGATTTAAGTTCAAATCCCTGTTGAGCTATGCAGCTCACTGAATGTCTTTGGACGTTGGTCACATTCTCCCAATCTAATGCATCTCTCAGGATTGCTGTGGGAATAAAATGAGGGAAAATCCACATACGATACCTTGAGTTTCTAGGAAGAAGGGTGGAATACAAACACAGTAAACCAATAACCAGAATGTACAGGTACAGTCCTTTTACATTTATGTAGAAGCAAAGATTCAAATCCAAAAGCGCCTTAGAGACCAACAAGATTTTCAGAGTATAAACTCTCAAGGGTCAAAGCTGCCTTCATCAGATACTTTTGGCTCTTGAAAGCTATGCCCTGACCTGGATAGCCTAGGCTAGCCTGATCTCATCAGATCTCGGAAGCTAAGCAGGGTCAGCCCTGGTCAGTATTTGGAAGGGCAACCTCCACGGAATATCAGTCATGACACAGATGCAGGCAATGGCAAACCACCTCTGAAACGCCTCTTGCCTTAAAGACAAGTCTAGCTTGCCACCTAGTGGTGCATAATGCTAAAAGAGCTAGAACTTCGGGCTGCCAGACATCTTAGGATCTCCTGGCTATTCCACACACAATGCCATATGATAATCAATTAATTTCTTGACAGCTTATACCGTGAAAAGATGGTTGGTCTCTAAAGAGCTTCTGGACTTGAATTTAGTTCTTCTGCTGCAGACCAACATGGCTACCCTCTGAATCCACTTTCAAAATCATTGATCTTTTTTGTATAAATGAGGGTCTTCAGCAAGGGTTTGGGGCTCAATCTTAGAATCTCAGAGAGAGTTTATGCTCCGGGGTTTCACTTTCAGCCTATGAATTCTCACTTGTAGGGAGGAAATTTCTTTGCTTGTGGGTTATCTATATCTTAGAAATTAGGAAGGTTAAGCTTATTGTTTAAGATTCTGGTCAGGTGCCTCCTTGGCCGCCAGCCTAGTGTGTACCTTGTACTTTAACTCTGGTATAGTTTTAAATAAAGAAACTTTATTTAAGGAATTTAGCCTTGTAGTTGTTTTAAGGGAATCTAACAGTGTGTTAAGGGAATCTAACAGCTTGGGTAAGGGGCAATACCAACAACATAAAAGAATCGAGCTCTGAGGGGGAGCCCGGAGAGCGAGATTCCCCAGAATTCTCCCCACACTAGTCTCATTGAGTTCACTGGGACCTAAGATAAGTTTGCATAGGTTTGTCTTATTAAACTTATAGACAGGATAAACTTCCAGCAGTCAGTTTATGTAACTCAGGTAGGTCCGCATATTGAAAGCATTTGTAAGCAACACACCTAATGAAAGAAAATCCTGGTGTTTTTTTTTTAAGCATGGTTGACGCATATTTTTAAACCTGTGGGTTCGATGCAATGCTTACTTCCTGCCAAAGGATCGGGGGGGGGGGTAGTTCTCGCCAGTTCTCCCTTCCTGCTGCAGACTCCCACATCAGAACCAATGCTGTTCCCGGGGAGATGCCCTGAACTCACAGGGGAAGCATCTTAGTGGGATGCAGCAAGAGGAGGAGGAGGAATGAAAATTCCATGCTGTGAGCACAGCTCCCTCCTCAGGGACTCTGGATACAACCCACTTAAACAACCATCACGTGAAAAGAAAAAAGTCCAGGGCCTTTACCAAAAGCTTAATCACAATTTTAACTAGTTTTTTTCTGTATTTCCCTTAAAGGTAAAGATTCCCTTGCTCGAAAGCCAGTTGAGTCCGACGCTAGGGTTGCGGTGCTCATCTCCGTTTCAAAGCCGAAGAGCCAGCGCTGTCCAAAGACGTTTCCGTGGTCATGTGGACGGCATGACTAAAAACCAAGGCGCACGGAACGCTGTTACCTTCCCACTGAAGTGGTACCTATTTATCTACTTGCAATTTCTTGCTTTCGAACTGCTAGGTTGGCAGGAGCTGGAACTAGAGACGGGAGCTCACTCCGTCATGCGGCACCCGGGTCTCGAACTGCTGAACTACCGACCTTCCACAGCCTGCAGTTCAGCGTCTTAACCACTTGAGCCACCGCAGCTCCTGTATTTCCCTTACATGTATACAAAAATCTTTTAGACATTTTGCTACAGAGAAATCTGAGGCAGGGAACTCCAACAGACAGTTAATAAACAGAGGAGAATTATTGTTATCACAGTGCTGTGTGCTTTACATATGATCGGTCACTAATCTGGGCATTCTGTTCGGAATTTACCAGCTTCTTTTCCGAAAGGTCTCTTTTGTGCCTCAGCCGCTGAGCCTTGGAACACCTTGCGCAGCTTGTGCCGAGATACCGGTGCCAGCTCTCAGCTCGTTCTTGCGATAAGCAACCGAGTACGTATGAATACGTGGGTCTGCATCGCCTTCCCAACCAGGTCCCCAGGAATTTTGCTTGCAGCATATTTGCCTGGAACAACAACAAAAAAAGAAATGATGTCCAGAGCAGAGTGGGTGAAGCAGGAACGTATTGAGAGGAAGAGATGCATAGTTGCAAAGAACACAACAAAACCCAGAGCAGATTTCAACTTGAAAAGAGAAATCATGTGCAGCTGTTCCTGTTTCTTATTTGCAGCAGGTGCCGAAGGGTCAGGAAATCAAGCACACTTAACTTTGATGAATTGCTGCCCTTCCAAAGGCATCCTCGCAAATGTCTTGGTTACTGCAGAGCTCCCTCAAATCAGACCTAGCGTTTGCTATACCCAATAAAGATCTCTCTCTCTCTCTCTCTCTCTGGCAAGCAGTGAAACAGCTGTGTGGTGATTTCACCTTGCATATATTGAAGCTAGTTCCTGACTTCTAGAAGCATGGAGTTGGAAGGGCCATCAGTCCAGCCCCCTGCTCAATGTAGCCAAATGGATCCCTGACAAGTGTTTGTCCAGCAGTTGCTTGAAGACCGCCAGTGAGGGGGAGCTCACCGCCCCCCTTGGCAGCTGATTCCACTGCTGAACTACTCTTACTGTAAACATTCCACCACCCCTCCTAATTTCCAGCCGGTATCTTTCCACCTGGAATTTAAACCCATTCTTGCCAGTCCTGTCCTCTGCTGCCAACAGGAACAGATCCCTACCCTCCTCTAAGTGACAGCCTTTCAAACAAGGTTATCACTTAGAGGAGGACAGGAAGCTGTTCCTGAATGTCACATTCTAGCATGACCAAGAATCAGAATTTACAACGCTTTGGCTACCACAGGTCCCTGCCATCTAAGCTTCTGTTGTTACATCTTCACACACACACACACAACCTCTACCCAACAGTGGTTCCAAATCTTTCATATTGTTCTGGCCATGTGACGCTTCTCTTTAAATCGCTATATTAGCTCTGCGTCCTCCTTCAGATCCAGCATGAACTCCTTGTCCTTATCTTCAAAGCCTTCTATGGTCTTGGCCCCCCCACCCCGAAAGCTTCCGTTCCCCCAGCAGAACCTTCACTACTCCCCACTCCACCATCCTTGGCCATCTGAAGGACTCTTCTTCCTCTAAGGACTCTGCCCTTTCTCCCATGGTGCCTCACATGCTGGAAACTGCCTTCTGGCATGATGCCCCCTCTCTCACACCCTCAAACCCCTCTTGCAACCCACATTTCTCAATAAGCCTATGGCGCAATCCCCTTCCGAAACTATCTTAAGCACCTGTTAACTGAAACAAATACATTTTCTTCGGCTGCTTTTCCACAGTTCCCTGCCTTCTTGTACTCTTTAAAGGGTAAAGGTTTCCCTTGCTTGAAAGCCAGTCGAATCCAACTCTAGGGGGTGGTGCTCATCTCCGTTTCCAAGCCAAAGAGCCAGCGCTGTCCGAAGACGTTTCCGTGGTCATGTGGCCGGCATGACTAAATGCTGAGGTGCACGGAACGCTGTTTACCTTCCCACCAAAGCGGTACCTATGTATCTACCTGCAATTTCTTGCCTTCGAACTTGGCAGGAGCTGGGGCCTAAGACGGGAGCTCACTCCATCACGTGGCATTTGGGTCTCAAAATGCCAAGTTACAGACCTTCCAGTCTGCAGCTCAGCGTCTTAACCTCTGAGCCATACATATTGATGGTGCTATACAAATATTTATTTTATTTGTTTGTAACCCCCACCTTTCACCCCAGTGGGGACCCAAACGCAGCTTACATCATTTCCCCTCTCCTCCATTTTATCCTCACAACAACCCTGGGAGGTAGGTTAGGCTGAGAGAGTATAGCTGCCCCAAGATCAACCAAGCAAGCTTCCATGGCAAAAGTAGGGATTCGAACCCAAGTCTTTAGGATCCTAGTCCCACACTTTTAACCACTACACCACACTGGCACTGTTTATAAGGTATTTTATAATACACTTTCCTTAAGAGCTCAAAGCGCTTCAGATACATTGTCAGCATCTGTTACAATAATCCTGTGATGTAGACCAATATCACTATCCCCAAATTAGAGAGGAGACTGGGAGACAGTGGCTTGCCAGAAGACACAGTGAGTTCATTGCTGAGCTGAGATTTTAAGCAGGGACTTTCCAAATTCACGTTCTTAGCCATGGCTAGGGACACACGGCAAATTTTTCTCCAACGTTTATTTGTTCTTTGAAAAATGTTTCCATTTCTGAAAATGTACTGTTTCGTAAAATTAATAACAATGAATAAGATGCCATTGCCGATACAATATTCAATTCAATTTATTATGGGTCTATATGACTGAAGTCTTGACCAACAGAGAATGCAAAAGGGATAAAATAGGTACATAAAATTGACATAAAATATGACAAGTACATAGTCACAATCAGTAAACATATAAAACCCAGGCATAGCCCAGAGAATTAAAAGAACCTAACTACACTTGGGGCGGAGCCAACTAACTAAAATCCTCCAAAGATTAAAATCGGTACAGGTGTTTGCAGAGATGATAAAGCTTTCAGTGTTTCTTGAGAGCAGCAACCTTAGCCAGGAACCGTGCCACGTTAGCTGTTATCAGTCCATCAGCATTTGAATCAGACAACAATACTGAAAGCACCCAAGGTTGCAAGGGAAGATTCATCTTCGTAAGAATAGGAATGATATATATCCCTCTATCTTGAGTCCAATGGGGACAGCGAAACATCAGATGGTCTAAAGTTTCAATTTCGCCAGAGTTGCACAAACAGAGGCGATCTGAGTAAGGTAAGCCTCTAAATCTGCCCAGCGTTACCATCATTGGAAATGCATTTAAGCGGGCCAGCATAAAGGCTCGACGGTGGGATGGAATTGGTAGCGATGAATGAAAATCCAGAAATCTCTCTGGAGGGGGCAACCCCAGAGCCAAAGGAGAACAGGTGCGTCTGGCCCTGGCCACGGTGCTAGCCCAATCCAACTGTTTGAGTTTCTTCAAGGTTTCCTCGAGCTGGGAGGGCAACAGCTCTTCAGTAGGTGAGGAAATCGGAACTCCCAATGTCTTGAGTTTACCCGCAAGAAGGGACAACCAAGGGTTGGATGTCGTGTCCTTTAGGATGAGACGAAGAAAACCGGCCTGGGGGTGATGACTTGGGTCAGATAGCTTAAATCTCAACTTGAATGCCCTTTTCCAAGCATGTGCTTCGAGCGAAGATTGAACCAATTCCATACGAAGGACAGTCCCAGCGACACACCGTGGAGTTCCAGTAATTCTCCTAAGGAAGGCGTTTAACTGGGAATCCCATTTCTCGTCCACACCAGCAATCCAGTTTTCTGCGCCGTATAAAATTTGGGAGACCACCTTCACATTATACACCTCGATGGCAGGGGGAATCCGCTCAACCCCCTTTGTACGGAAGAATCTTTCAACCAGTGCCGTGGCAAGTCTAGATGACTTTTTGACGTACGTCAGATGAGCGGACCAGGATAGATTATAATTAAAGACAATACCAAGATATCGGAAAGAGGAAACCCATTCTAGTTGACCATCCCCAACTTTAAAATATAGAGGACCTCTTCTTCTCGTAGCAGAGAAGCGAAGAACCTTGGACTTAGCATAATTCACAGTAAGCTCTTCTTGTTTGCAATAGTCCAGAAAGGCATTAACAATAGACCTCAGTCCAACTTCAGATGTTGCCAATAAAACAGCATCGTCAGCATAAAGTAGAAGTGGTATAGGAAGACCGGCTAGATACGGGGAATGTTTGGCTCTTCTTTTAAAAAACGGCACCAAATCATTAATGTAGATGTCGAAAAGGGAGGGGGCCAACAAACATCCCTGTCTAACTCCCTTTTGCACTGGAAAGGAGTCTGTCCTGATTCCTGAAGAATTCACCTGGACCGAGGCAGATGTATTAGAATAAAGAGCCATAATCAATCCCAGAAGTCTGCGGTCAATATTGGTGTTCAATAACTTTCCCCACAATCTACGACGAGAGATAGAGTCGAAGGCCGCCCTCAAATCCATAAAGGCCGCGTAGAGACAACCTCTTGGGCGCAAGGAATACTTGCCAGCGAGATGGGCCGATACAATATTAAGCCAGCATGGCCGTTTCGAAGTTGTCACTAATGTTTTTAGGTGATCATTCCTAGTAATTGCAGGAACGTGTTTATGTATGCTTTATTGATTTATAATTGTGGGGGGTAACGAATTCACCTGATTGGCTGTGCCGTGTCAAATCAAAACCAAAGCTAATCACCAATCTGATACGGAGCTAAAAAGTGATGCAAGTGACTGAGGTGCCCCAGTGAATTCCATGAGTGAGAATTTAATTCTGTTGAAACAGATGAGTGGATGGTCACATCCCACTGCACTCCCCCTAAAGGAACAGGTACGTAGCTTGGGGGCGCTGCCAGACCTGGGCCTCCTGTTGGAGAAACAGGCAGCAGCAGTGGCCAGGGGTGCCTTTCACCAACTTTGGCTAGTGAGCCAGCTACAGTCCTTCCTGTAGGGGAATAATCTTGCCACTGTGGTGCATGCCCTGGTAAACTCTAGATTAGATTGCTGCAATGCATTCTATGTGGAGCTGCCCTTGAGAAGTCTTCGGAAACTTCATCTCGTACAATATGCTGCAGCCAGGATGTTGACTGGAGTGGGTCATAAGGACCATGTCGCTCCAGTCTAGTTCCATCTACAGTGGCTTCCAGTTTGTTTCCGGGACCGATTCAATGTGCTGACATTGACCTATATGGCCTGGGGCCAACATACCTTAAGGACTGCCTAGTCCTCTATGCACATACCTGTCCACTCAGGTCATCTTTGAAGGCCCTGCTTCAGGTATCCCCACCATCTAAGGCAGCAACCCAAGAAAGGGCCTTCTTAGTCGTGGCACCAAATCTTTGCAGCTCACTCCCTAAAGAGATCTGTCTGTCTCCCTCGGTCATTGTTTCCCACCAGCGGGTTTTGCATACCCCAATAAGTGTTATTGTTGTTCCTACCTTATCATGTTGTTATTTGTTTTTGTCTGTTTATATGCCTTTATTTCAATTATATATATTATATATACTTTATTT